AGTAACTCATCCTGTATAAGAGTATAATAGTTATTTATACACCAAGTGAGTTAAATGAATGTTTATTCATGAGAAGAAAGTTTGACCCACGAGCCCTAGCGGAGTGGGTTAATTTTCTTCGAATAAATAAACATTTTAACTCACGTGCTGTAAGTATACAAAATTTTATCCCATTTTGTGGAAATTTAGAAGATAAAGTACAAGGAAAAATGCCGAGAGTGAGTTAAATTTTTTTTGAATCACTGGAGGTGATGAACGTCTACTTACCTTTATAGTTATGCATTCAATAATGTCATTTTTAAACGTCAAAATGGGATAAAAATATAAAAAAGTAAGATTTAAATTTGTATTGGTCTTCCTTATCATTCTAGTGACGTGCCTATATCCTATATTACTTACCTGTTGTTTACAATTATTGTTATAACTAATCAAAAGTCGGGAAAATTGAAAAATTGAATTTTTAATCCAATTAAGAATTGGAAATATTCGAACATTGAATTTTAAAACTTCAAATTAAGCCAATCAGGAGCCGGGAATATTTGAAAATTGAATTTTAAAGCAAATCAAGAGCCAGGAATTTACAAGTACTCATATATACATATTGAATTTTTGAGAAAATCAGAAGCCAGGAAAATTGAAAAAATGATTTTTATTTTAAGCCAATCAATAACCGGAAGTATTGGAACATCATGGAACATGGAAATTTAAAACGTCAAATTGAGCCAATCAAAAGCCGGGAATATTTGAAAATTGAATTTTAAAGCAAATCAGGAGCCGGGAATTTACAAATATTGAATTTTTAAGCCAATCAGAAGCAGGGAAAATTGAAAAATTGAATTTTAAATCCAATTAAGAGCCGGGAATTTACAAATATTGAATTATTACTTAACTGGTGTTTACAATTCTGAATATTTATTGTTATAACTAATCAAAAGCCGGGAAAATTGAAAAATTGAATTTTTTATCCAATTAAGAATTGGAAATATTCGAACATTGAATTTTAACGCAAATCAAGAGCCGGGAATTTACAAATATTGAATTTTTAAGCCAATGAAAAACAGGGAAAATTGAAAAATTGAATTTTAAAATCAATCAATAACGGAAATATTCGAACATTGAATTTTGAACTACCTATGAAAGAAAAGAATGAGCCGACCGGAAATAACAAAGAACACTGAACCTAGTTACGGCATCTTAAAATGTCGCGTTCTGGGGCGTTATTCTTGACTTTCTCTCGAGAGAAAATTTGACTGTGTTGACAATTAAACAGTGCATTAACTGTTAACAATGTCAAATTTTCTACCTATGTAAAGTCAAGAATAAAGCCTCTGATCGCGTTGCTCCCCTCCCCCATGAAGGTAATTAAAATTGATTTTAACATGTTAGTCCGCTAATATTTGAAATGTATAAACAATTCATCACATAGTTTCTAGCTAAAGTAAATAACTGTTGAATTCTAAGGCCTGTATCAACACTAAAACTTCTTCAAATAATACAGAAGAGTATACCATATGATTCGAAATTTTGTACTCTACAAAAAACATATCTTGTACTTTTTTGGTTAAACTTACCGTTTTCGAGAAAACTCAGACCTAAAAAATGTAAAGTCTGTTTTTTTTTTAAAGATAAAAGTCAAAATGACATTATGTTGGCAATACAATGTAAAATTGTCAATGCTCCTAAATTTTTTATGTAGAAAAGGCTTGTGTTGCCAACATAATTACTAAATTTTTTACTTAGGGAATTTTATCTTTGAAAAAAAAAACACATTTTACCTTTGGGGTGGTTTTGGGGTTGCGCTAGAGTTGACGATAGTGATAAAAAAATAATATCGATAGTTTCGATAATCATGCTGGTGAATATCGAAACTCTCGATAAATTATCGATAACCTTGAGACTACAAACTACCTAAAACCAAAAACAAACAAGAACTTAAATTGGTAACTTCAAATAAATAACTTATAGCTCTGTTCCAACCAATGAACTATAACCAAAAACGTGTAGTTTAGTATGCCGCTGCTGCGGACGGGATGCCTTTCTTTGTCGCACTCATTACGTTAAATGGCGGAAATTGCTTTCAACACGTATTCCAATTGATAAAACTTGTGTAGGTGAATATAACACAACTTTCCAAAACGTAATATGTCGGCGAGCAACAGGAAAGAACAACATTCCCCCTTGTTGCATCAGTCTTTGATGTCTTCATTTTTCTAGGGGATATGTCAATGTGTACGCATTCCAGTTTTTGAATATAGTTCATTGGTTCCAACCGACATGAGAACCATTCTAGAACGGTTATTTCCAATCGATCAATTCATTTGTCAAGTAGTCAAGTAGGTTGAACGTTCAACTTATGACGTTTCCGATTAGTAGATTCAGTGCGCACTGAGTGTATTTGCATCCTTTTAATCGACTTGTAGAAGAAAAAGACAGAAATAGAAAAAAATGCACTAGTTCCGCACTAGATCTACCATTCGGAAACGCCTTTATTGAAAAATAGGGGGGGCAACTGGAAATTACTGGTTCTGGAACGGTTCGCATGCCGGTTGAAACAGAGCGATTTTTATCAAACTCAACTAATAAGTCGCCGCTCCGAGAGTCTGTCGTCTGTATCGTGTCTAATTTCTATCGTGGATTACACCGGTGCAGTGGTGCAGTCAATCCTGTGCACCCCAAACCCTCACCTAACCTATTTTAGATTTAAAATTGGAGCAGTGAACTCTATAAATACTTCCTATTCAATTTAAGTTCGGATTAGTTCATTGAATTTGATTATCCTGCGACTATCGATAGTTGCACTTTGCACTATCGATATTTTCGATTGTTCTATTTTTTTTGAAATATCGATACTATCGATAAACTATCGATAATATCGTCACCTCTAGGTTGCGCCCCCTATCGGATTTTTTGGGATTTTTAACCCATTATAGGAAACACTAAAAGGAACACAATGGCGCAAAAATCAGCTTGTAGAGAATTTGTTTAGGGTTGCCCACCTAGTTTTACTAGCCTATTAGTAATAAGTGTGTTTTTTACAAATATCTCGAAAATTAATAGAAATTTGGCAACAGCGCAAATATATTTTTAAAAGGGGTGTGCGCCAAAATTTAAAGCTTTATGGTAAAAAAATCTAAGAATAACTGTTCAAACCTCGTTATTCTACGATAAACCATCGCTGAGATATACCGCCTTAAAGTATGTGTGACGTCATGAGAGCTTCGTCCAGCCACGCTCTGCATTGTTCATTTGTTTTTTCCCGGTACGGGTCAGTCGTTTTTGTTCAGATTATTACAGGTGACACAGGAAAAACATATGTAAATTCAATTTACTTCACTATTTCGTGCGTCGTTTGAGCTCTCGTGATGTCATAGGGTGAGATGCGGTACCATCATAGAGCCATATCTTCGGTATTTTTTGTCATAGTGCGGTTTTCACTGTTGTTCTTAGATTTTTTTCTCCATTTTTTTTTTGGGATAAAATTGTTTTTTTGGCGCACACCCCCTTTAATAACCTTGGAAAATAGCAACTTTTTTCTCGTTTAATCACCCCAAGGATGATAAGACACACTACTACTACAAGATAGCCTATCCTCATAAGGCCCGTGTAGAACATTCACCCCCCCGCCTAATCACTATTTGTGACGTAGGCAGCATGTTATTTCTCGCCTTGACGTAGGCTGTTTAAACAGCTGACGACTTAGTTATGACGTCATAAATGGTGACACACCAATATGGCGGCGATTACCATAAACGAGGGCGATAAGCAATCCTGTAGGTGTGTATCATCATCATCCTTGTAATCACCCTCGTAAAATCTGTTTTTTTTTTCAAAGATAATATCGCAAGTCAAAATTTTAGTAACTATGTTGGCAGCACAAGCCTTTTCTACATGAAAATTTTGAAAGCATTAGTTCTTTTCACGTGGCTCCGGTTTAACTAACCGGGTTACAAAACGGTTAGAGAAATGACATACCGTTCTCTAGCCCGGTTACAAAGTGACGTGGTGGATACCTACCACTCGAATTTGAGCGGTATGTTGTGGTTTGTTAAACCGGAGCCACGTGAAAAGGGTTATTGACAATTTTACATTGCATTGCCAACATAATGTCATTTTGACTTTTATCTTTAAAAAAAAAACAGACTTTAGGCGATTTCGGCAAGCTTTGGTACATGGTTTGGTACCCTGTTTGGTCTGTCAAATGCATACCAACCAATTTCGGATACGAAAATGATGTCGTCACCGTGACTTTGGTATCCTTTTTGGTCTGTCAAATAGGATACCGTGGTCAGCAGCACGGTTCTTCTATTTGGTATAGTGCTATCTACGTCTATTTTCGTTTTGTCCTGCTCTGGAAAATGTAAATAAATGGAAGTTCATTAGAATTTGAATAATTTGAAATTTTTAACAAATATGTTTGTTTTTTCGCCTTCATCTTCCTGATTTCTCGTATGTTTTGACTGCCAAATAATGTTTGACGATCATTTGAAAAACGGCTCTGAACGACAGATATGAGGTAACTTTAACAGCTTTAAATTTACAGAAAACGCTGAGTTACTCAAAGGTACTGTCTAGACAGTGCTGATTAGTGATTATACATTTTAGTCAGTGCAGTCAGTACCTAGTCACTCCCAAAACTAGAAGAACAACACAAACTTAGGTTAAGGCTCGTCTCTTCCCCTCTCCTATGACCTACCAAACGAATTCGGAACAAAATGGTATCTTACGTCATTACTATGACGTTGCAGGTACCAATTGGTTAACCAAATGGTATACCAACCAAAGCTTGCCGAAATCGCCTTTTATCTCTTATCGTTTCCGATACAATAATGGTGGCTCATAGTACCTATTTTAGACACCCTGTATATTAATGTTAAATTACATTATAAATTATTATTGAATATTTCGAAGATAAATAAAATAAATAAAATAAAAATCTAATTTTTCCTTTTTCAAAGAATTTAAAATGAGAAAAGTGGCGCTTTATTTGTTGTACCAATAGATGGCGCCACAATCTTTTGCAAAATTTAATTAATTTGCGATAATCAAAGTGCTTTTATTCGCTTATTATTTTCTATTGCAAATAATAATTATGTGTAATTAATTTGGTAATTAATTGGTGATTTGATACAATTAATTATAATTATTTATACTTATATAGGTATTTATTTTTAGCAACTTTAAATAGATGGCGCTGATCAAAGTAAATTTTTCATAATTGACAATTGACATTAATTTGACATTTAAAATTAATATTATTTATAAACATAAACAAAGTACAAAATAATTTATTTAAAAAATTTAGTTTTATCTATTAATATATAAAAATAATTATAAAAATTTATGTGACAGAAAAATAGAAAACGTGCAGGTAATGATTATTATTAAATGTGAGTACAAATTTTAAATAATAATAAAAAATGGAATTTTTCCGAAATCAATTATTATTGAAATTGATAAAATTATCATTTTGACTTGTTAGAACCACTTCCGGCTACCTGTACAGCTTATCTACCCTTTTTTTTCCATTTAAACTTCAAAGCAGGTACCTAGGTATTTGTTTTTATTTGTTTACCTTACCTGAAATAAGTCAATGTCCATCAATAAATCAAAAGTATGGATCGATAAATCTAGTAGGTATCGATACTTTTGTCCTGTTTTATAACTCAACATTTCATCAGAGACTAGCTTTGTTTGAAGTTGACACCAAGCAAATATTATAATATTGTTTATAATTAAATTATATTGCACGTTTTATCAATTTTATGCAAAAAAACAAATAGAAAAAAATATATAAAAAAGTTGTTTAATCCATAATATGTGTGTATAAAGATTCAGATACAAAAATTATTAAAGGGACTTTGATTTTACAATGCATTTATTCTTTTCCCAGAACGTTAGTAAAGCTGAAAACAAATTAACACAAAACAAACATAAATATATTATTTAAACAATAATTAGTTACATTAAAAAATAATTAAAACTATCAACTAGTGAGTACGTACAACATACAGTTCCTTCATAACAAAGATAAAATCAAAAACAGCACACATAAAAATAAATTATTATTAACAAAAACAATTAATAATAATTATTTACCTAGGCATTCGATGCGAAAAACGAAACTTTTCCGACCGAAATCATCCACACGAGGATGACTAATCGGGTAACGACGCACACAAAGGCCGACCGAAAACTGACTGATCGAAAATTGAAAAAAATCGAGCTGGCGCAACAAATGCGCTCGGTCGCTCGGCAATTTTCGTGGTGCGGCTGCCAAGGCTGCCGCGTTGCCGCTGCACGAGGCTATTACGTCATCGAGTTTTAGTCCGGGAAAATGCGACATATTACGTCACATTATTGTCAAAAAGATTAGTTTTAAAACGTCATAGTTACCAGAGATATAAACGTCATTTTGTTAATTGTATTTCAGACTTTTCTACATTATTGTCGAAATAAGGAGAATTTAGGATTCAAATGAAATTAGAAAAAATATTTCTCCCTCTATCTTTTTTAATTCACATTTTAGCCCCAAATAGGTAAAAGTTTTATGATTGAAATTGAATTTTTTGAAAAACTTTTTTTTCGCATTTACTGCCCACATAACAGTGATAGAACATTCATATTCTCAGAATATTCCCTCAAAGTGCTTTTCGGAATGTTCTTTTAGGAATGTTTAATGAATATTCTAAGATTGTTTCGATTGAAATATTCATTTTTGGACGTTCTATTTATGTACTAGGAATGTTGCTTCTATGCACTTACCTGAAAGATTGTGCTAAGAACCTACTTTATATAACATTATCTGAATATTGTCATAGGAACATTATTATAATGTACCCTGAAAAATGTTCTTTCAGCTAATATCTTTATCAGGTATCAAGAATATACCTTTCAAGTTGTGCTGAGAAGTTTATGTAGGAAGGTACCCATGATAAAAATATTTCCAAATTTTTCACTTAATTATCTAAAGTACCTTCTCAAAAATCTTAATTGAACAATTAAACAATAATGCTCTATCTTATAGAACCTACTAAAAATGTTATAGGTATATTCTTTTTCTTTTGCTTTGTAGGACTTCCAAGAGAGGGAGCCACGCGCTATTATTGATCTACATTTTGCCTCGCGTTTGAATCACCTTGGAACCTGTTTTTCTCAGTTGGCGTGCTTACCGCGACTAGAGCATAATAAGCTTGAAACTGGAGCTTTGGTTAAACAATTGTGTTTTCCAGAGAAATTTTCCAACAACTCTTTCACTGCCTTTAATATAAAAGGACTGAAAGGAGCATTATTTGGTTGGATGCGAAAATTAACATTCCAAGTATGTCCTTAGAATCAAACAAGAATGTTATGTCTAGGATGCATATTGAGAATCATGTATGTAGATATATTCTAAGAATATTTCAAGCATATTGGTATAATATTCTTTTGAGAACATAACTATAATGTCATAGAAACATTCTTTGAATGTGAAAAATGTGAGAATAAATATACATTTCAAGCATATTTCGCAATGGTTTTGGCAAACATTCTAGGCACATTCCTTTTAAAAAAAGAACATTCTCAGTACATTCTAAGGATGCAATTTTGTTATGTGGGTGGGTGTTTCAGAAAAGGTACTCGTGCTGCAAACTTCTTATTTTGAATGAATACCCTGTATATTATCAAATATTCTGATTCTACGTAAAATTCTGAGCAGATTTCATGTGATTATACTCTATACCTAAGTGAAGGGGTAAACCACCTAGGAATTCTTTGCCAAAAATGTGGTGAATTTAGAGGAATTTGTGGGGAATTTGAAGGAACTCATCGGAATTTATGAGAATTTTGGGAATTTATAGGAAATTTGGAGAAATTTATGGAGAATTTGTGAGGAATTTATGAAGAATTTAAAAGAAATTTTAGGGTCATGACATCACTGATGAGGTTCACATTTTTATTAGAAGAAATAGTAATAAATAGAAATTGTAAAAAAAAATCTAGTTTCGTGTTGGACGTTGGATATTCATTTTTATTAAAGAAATTCTCCCAAAATTTCACTTCATGATTTAGGGTTAGTTGGGGTAATCGTGAACAGGGGCAATTGTGAACATGTCCGTTAAGTTTTAAATTTGGCGGGTATCATTAGTTTGAACGACTGTGGCGTCACCGCCTTCTTCACTTGTTTGAACTCGCCAAGAACGGGAAGAATTGTTCTGCCCGTTTACTCAAAATTTTAAATTATTTATGAAGCTGTATAAAAAATTGTGTGTCCTATTTGCCACTATTACGAGTTTTATTTAAAAAGTGAATTTGTAAACAAGGTAAGATAAATTATTTATGTAGTAGTGTTGATTTTTGTAGTATTTTTTGAAACCTATGTTTGTAGGTTAGGTTTTACAAATAAATAAGTATACCTACGTGTGTTTACCATTGCCCCATCAAATAAACAAAACGGGGCAATTGTAAACTTTTCTATGGGGGAATCGTAAACACGTTCGGGGTAATTGTGAACACATTTCTTCTATTAGGACAATTATTGTAGACGGATATTTTCTTTTTTTTAGAAGTACAATGGTACGTAATTACAAAAAAAAGAGGTCGGAGATTCAGAGATATAATGAAGAGGACCTTGTGAATGCTGTTAATGACGTCCTAAATCAAAATAAAACTTTCAGGCAAGCGGAACAGCATTACAATGTTCCTATTGCTGTTATATTTAACAGAATTAAAGGGAGAAAAAATCCTATGACTACTTTGTGTGCAGGTCGTCGTCCTGCCTTGCCTCCTGATGTAGAAGAAACGATAGCAAACTGCCTCATAGCTCGGGCTCGAATGGGCTGGCCTTCTGACGAAAAAGAGTTGTGTGCTTTAGTTGGTGAATATGTTGTATCAAAAGGAATAAAAACGCCTTTCTAAGACAACCTACCTGGCCATGATTGGTACTTAGGCTTTATGAAAAGGCATTCCAATTTGTCATTTAAAAAGCCTGAACATCTACAAAAGATTCGAAAAGACGCCAGAGACCCGTTTGTTGTTTACGACTTTTATCAAAAACTTCAAGAATTAATTACTGAAAAATCGCTAGATGAGCCAAATAAAGCATGTTTTGTATTCAATGCTGACGAGTCAGGATTTAATAGCGATCCCTCTAGAGTAAGAGCGATTGGTGAGAAGGGAAAAACATTTTCTCGCCTTTCAGGTGGCTCGGGCAGAGAGTCAACAACAGTGTTGGCTTGTATTTCAGCAGATGGCAACTATCTCCCTCCGTTCATAGTGTTCAAAGGCAAAGCAGTCCAGGCACGTTGGATATCAGATAAAGCATATCCAGGAACTTTATACGGAGCATCAAAAAACGGATGGATGGAAGAGCCCCACTTTTACCATTGGTTTATGACATCGTTTGTTCCTCAGCTGGAAGAACTCAGGATTAAGCATAACCTACCTGAACAAACAGGTGTCTTGACGTTTGATGGCCACTGCAGTCATGTAAGCGTTCGTATTGTGAACTCTGCTCTTGAGCACAATATAGCACTGTTGCGATTTCCCAGTCACCTGACTGATCGGATACAACCTTTGGATAAGTGTGTATTCGGACCGGTCAAATCCAAATGGGATAGAATATTGGTTGCCCATGGCAAGGCTGAAATGGGAAAATCAACAGGCGGATTGGGTAAAAACAAATTTGTGGAGCTTCTAAGCGAAGTTTGGAAGGAAGGCATAACTTCTGCAAATATAATATCAGGGTTTCAAACTACTGGAATATTCCCTGTCAATCCTGCCATGTTTTCTGAAGAGTACTTTGATCCCCTTAAACTAGAGAAGTATAAGAAGAGCATTACAACCGTTTCTTTAGGAGTTCAATGTACACCAGAACCGATAGAGCCAACCCCGGGGATTTCTGGCGTAGGCGTAGAACAAAATAATATCAATACATCACGCTTGGATGAGGTTCAACTAGAACAAGTTCTCAAACAAGCTACTACGAAAAAACATTCTCCAAACCAGATTCTACGGATATTTAGCAAAAGATTGCATGAAGCTAGTACTAGTTCTGCATCAGAAGTCCTCGCTGATCTTCCTCCCAAAAAAGTAATCCCCCTTTTAAGACAGTCTACGTATGGAGAAGTTTTAACAACGCCAGAAGTGTTAAAAAAAGAAGCTGAGGAAAAAAAAGCGGCAAAAGTAAACAGAGGTAAAAAACCTAAAAAAGTCCCAAACAATGACGGAGAACACAAAAAGAAAAAAGTGAAAAAAACATTGAAGTTTCTGACAGCTTCTGATGATGAAGGTGAAAACACAAATCTCATAGAAGGTGAGTCTGATGACGATAACTTACCATTGAAGACATTGATTGATAAAAATGACCTAGAAAATTCACAATCCTTAGTAGGACAGAAAGAGGTAAAGTGGGATGATATACAGACTGACACTTTTATTCTGGTCAAATACAAAGCATTAGGCAGAAAGGCCACAGAATATAGATTCGTTTGTGTGGTTAAACATAAAGACGAAGAGGATGGTGAAATTGCTATTACAGGGTTGAGGGCACTAGATAATTCTTGTTCTGATTTCTATGTCAACGAGCTGATGACATCCTACATTACTTTTGATATGGTACAAGCTATTCTTCCCAATCCTCAATTAAAATTTGTTGGACGAAAACTTATTTATGCCTTTCCAGGAAGAGTAGATATTTTTGAGAGACATTAAAAACTGGTTAAAAGTACACACTTAACTCTTTTATTTGTTTACCCCTGGTGCAATTGTGAACATCACTATAAGCAGGTAGGAAAAATTGTAAATGCTTTGATATAGTTGTTTTGTTCACAGATGCCCCCTCTAAATTTAAATGGAACTTATAATAACAAAGTGGTGATGTTTACTTTTACCCCAAAATTTCTATATATATTTTTTTTTGTTGGGTAATTGTAAACATGAATTTTTTCTGTAAAAGTTAGAGATGCTTAGATTTGTATATGTGGCACCTAAACACAACCCATGAATTAAGCTCTACCCTTAAAATTACCTTCGCAAATATTAGGATTAAAATTTTAGATTTTTTTATATTTGATTTTAACAGAAACGTTTACCATTACCCCAACTAACCCTACAGGTCCAAATTTAAAAAATTCAAAAGAATAATGAATACAATTTTTATAGGCTGATTTTCAAGATTTTTCATGTTGTTATTTTCCATTGGAAAAATTTGGGAAAATGAGC